AACCCGTTTGCAAAAGCGACATTATCACAAGCTCACGGAGTTTGTGGCAGACGTGACCAAAATCTTCGACAACTGCCGCTACTACAACCCCAACGACACGCCCTTCTATCAGTGCGCCGAGACGCTCGAAGCCTTCTTTGTACAGAAGCTAAAAGGTTTCAAAGCGAGCAGGTGAGTTTAAGCGCTGCTGGTGCCGCAGACTCGGCCTACAAGTTTCTCTCCTCCATGCTCGTCTGTTTGCTGTAAACACTCAACTGACCTGACTGGCTTTTTCAGTAATTCTGCCATTTCATTTGTTTCTTCCTTAAAGGGGGACCTATGATGGTTTTCCATATTTTCGATACTGTTATGTAATGGTTTATGCTTAGAGCCTATATAGGATTGTTAAGACTGGTACCGATATTTAGTGATTTTAAAGAAATCTGATATTCTGGCCAATATTTAGCATGAAACAAACAGATTTCCTGACATTCGTTCTTGCTAAGGTTGGATCAGCTGGTTGTTTGTCATGTTTCTAATCTGTATTGCCAACAGGGCAGTGCCCTCTGGTGGACAAACCACGCAACATTAACACTCATAACATGGTTGCCAGGTTTTTAGGGATTTTTTTCTCCCTCAGCTTTTTTATTTTACTATTTTTATGTTTTGTTTTTTGCCATTTCTCAGCTGTTATAAATGCCAATACCAGTATATCAACTGTGGTGTATTTATGCTCATATTAAACACGGGTAAGGTTTCAAATAATGAGCAGGTATTCATCTGCCTGATGTCAGTGAGTGTCCTCTTTACAGGCATATAAGTCCCACCCACTGCTGTTACAAGGGGCAGCCAATCAGCAGAGTTTTGGCTTAAAGGGACAGAGCAGTGCTGAAATAAGAATTAAGGATTACTTTGAAGTTTCAAAGCTACTATAGTGGACTTTTAATAGGTCCCCTTTAATGTGTGCATTTATGGCTTTCCATTCACGGTTTCTTTTCTTCTTCTTTTTTTTTATAGCACTAGCATGTGTGTAGTGATGATGTTTTACTTGTGCTTTACTTGTACGTTGTAGTTGCTTGGCAGTACTAAAAACCCAAGAGAGCTGACAGACTTTAGGCCATTACATCCAGTGTCTTGGCAAACCCGAGTGCCATGTTTACATCTTGTATTGTGTATCATCTTGCATTTGTGTCTGTTCACTTTTGCTGCATGCCTTTTTGATTTATGCCATCCCATTTTCTTCTTTCTTACAGATTGTCAGATTCTTAAGTGGGCCAGTCTAGCTGGAGTCTGGACTGGATGCTGGGGTCTCTAGTAATATTAATATGAAAGCAAAACAAAAAGAATAAAAAGGCACAAGAACACAAACAAAACACCAGAAGTTTTCAGGAACCCGTTGTGATCACGGTTTTCAGTGACAACACAATGGCAGCCATGTTGACAGGTGTCAGTGATGTAATTGAGGGGCATGCTGTCTTCACATCGTAAACATAGACTGTATAGAAAAAATGAAAGTAGCCCCAACTTCAACTTTTTATCTGCTTTCTTTCTTATAGCTACAGAAAACAAGCCACTGACTTTCACTCTCAGTCAACAGTCTCAGGTTTTATTGAATGCAACATTGTTGCTGTCAAAACTGATAATGGTGAGCCACGGTGGCTACTTCCATCTTTTATATACAGTCTGTGATCCCGAATCAGGAGTCGTGGCCTTTTTGAACAATCAGTCACACTAACGAGGGTTGTGTTCAGTAGAAATTGCGTTTTAGTTTCTCATTCTTGTATTTATTTCAGTTCTACACCCGAGTTAATTTGGGAATTTTGACTCAACGATATAAAGCTGCATATTTTAATATAGAGAGATATTTATAAGACGTTTTGTATACTGGCTCCCTCCTCGAGTTTGATTTTTTTTTTTGTTGTTGTTGTCCTGGCTGTTAAGGTGGTTGTCTTGAATGTATATACCCTTCTTTTATTTTTTTTTCTCTAAATCATGTACAGCGTTTGTAAGATATGCCTGTATTTGACTGTTTTAAATAATAATGAAATAATTTTTAGATAGTATTATTTTATGAGACTAAAATGTACTAGACGGAGTAAGGAGTTAGAGCAAAGTAACCTCAGTTTGTAGTTGTGGAAGATTTCTTCACTAATAAAAAGCATTCCCAGTTAATTACACCAACATGGCTGTAGGATCCCATGCAGACCCCTTTGCATCCTCTTGTCTCTTGTCTGATCACTGTTATAGCAATAAACAACCTTGCGAAGGGCTCTCAACTTTCCCCTCTCTTCACGTTCTGTAGGTCTCATAACAACAAGCTTCAGTCTTCTGCAGCCTCTTAGGATACATCGCACATTGCGCGAAACAAAAATGCACTTGCCAAGAATATGGCTTTCCTGAACTGTAACTCTGTGATGGACTCTGCCTCACCCTGTGTTTGGGGTTTGCTCCTCTTCGCCGCTGCAGCGGGAGGTGGTGGTAGTGGTGGTGGGGGGAAGCTGGACAACCAGCTTGCTGCTTTCACGGGATCTCTTTTCCAGGCAGAGCCGCCCTCTGCTCATTTCAGCTGTAAGGGACCTGTTTTTATGGACCTGCTTTCATCAGAGGAGCGAGAACAACTGAGGCATTTCAGAAGAAAGTTTACCTCGGAGAAAAGACTCTTACGAGCTCTCATATTTCCATGTACTTTTTTTTTTTTTTTTGATCGGAGTCTTTTTATCTTTTTTTTTTTTCTTACTTGGTTTAAAAAGAAGAAGAAAAAATCCCTCAGACCATTCCTGTGGTCATCATGTCCAATGTAATAGAAACTGAATACTGTCAAACAATGGCTAGGTTCTACTCGGCATAATGAGTAGAGTTTTGTGTCTAAATTCATATATCACAGTGGAGCAATGTTTTTTCTCCCATTTCCACTCATTGTTTAGTCTGATGTGGCATGAAAGATCGTTTAAGTACTAATTATCTGGACATCGATAGTCTGCTTGGTTAAACTTCTATAACCTACTGAAAGTAATAAGCTATTGTAAATGAGTTGCTTTGCAGTAGTGACTGAGAAGGATGATGTATTTGAAGGTTCCTGCCCTGTTTGTTTAACAAAACAAAAAAACACAAAAAAAATCATCAGATTTTGACTTGATTTTCTTTTCCTTTTTTTTGTATTACAACTGAAGAAATATTGATGTATATGGAACTTAATAAAATGGAAAACACAGATTTCCTTCCTCTGATTTTGACACAAAAGAGATTTTTTTTTAGTGTCTCTTAACTTGCAGACATAAATCATAATGTAAAAACTGACAGAAACTCAGGTTATGCTGTACATAGCCTGAGTTTCTATATCAGCTGACAGAAAATTGGTTAATCTTTTTATAATTGTTTCCTTTTTATTTCATATGAAAATTCCAATAAATATAACCTCATGCTCGCTGATCCTGTACAGAAAAGTAACCGTTACAGTTCAAAACAATATCCAGTTGTGGTCAGGAATATATATTCACTTATCGGCACGGATCTCATGGGCTTGTAATGATGTCCTCGAACTTTTCTTTATCAAGGGTGGAGTGATTGTACAGCGTCTCTTTAATGACTTTAAAAATTGATTTTGGATTTTACTAATCCATACAAGGTCAAAAGTAAACACACATTCCCGCTATTATTTGGTTAGCAAGTTCCACTCCAGCCTGACCCTTTTGTTATCCAAAAAGAAGTCCTTGGCATAGTTTTGGATATTTGACCACTCTTCTTGGCAGATGTTTATTTAAATTGGCTGATTTCCTGACTCCAGCTTTAAAGTGTATTCCACAAATTTTCAGTAGAGTTGAGGTCGGGGTTTTGAGGAGGCTGTTCCATAAGCTTAACATTGGCCTGTTCTATCTATTACAAAACCAACTGTGATGTGTGTCTGGGATCATTGTCCTGCTGGAACGCCCAGGTGTGTTTGAATTTAAGCCGGTTATTTATTTGAGCCGAAGTTGAAGAATCTGAAGGTCGTCCCCCAGAGCACGATGCTACCACCACCGTGCCTGGCAGCTGGTACAGTGTTCTTGGGTTTGAAAGCCTCACCTTTACCCCTCCAAACATCTCTTGTCACTGTGGTCAAAAACCTTAATCGCAAACAAGCAATTTTTAGCTGCGTTTGAATGTTTCCGTTTCTTCGCAGAGGGGCTTCTCTCTTGGTCGGCAGCCTCTCAGTCCACGGCGATATAAAACCTGTACTTATGTGCAACTGTTTAAACCCGTGATCATGGACCCTGCAGTTGTTAAAGAATGCCACAAATTTGTTTAAATGTAAAATTATTCAGAGTTCTTCTGACTTTGATGAATCCAGCGTATATATCCTGTCAAATTATTCCTTTTCATGCTCGCAAAGAGAAACTACCGGTTCTAGTCGATCGTGATCACTAATGAAGCAGGCCAAATTAAAGGACGCTGTCGAACATTCAGCGCTACTTTTTAAAAGGTTTAAGAGAGTGCATGTATTCTTTTGAGCCTCTTTGATTACATATCCAACATAAATCCAAACTTGTTCATCCAGTTCTTCTTTTTTAAGGTCATTAAAGATGTATGCTATACAATCATTGTATCCTGGAAAAAGAACAGTTCAAAGAAACTATTAAAAGCCCAAATTTACCGTGACATTCACGGCCATGATGTGTACATCCTCAGACCACACCTGTATTGTTAAACAATGGTTCATAATGTAACTTCCAGATTTATTGTTAATATATTTTATTACACGTACTTTTTTAAATGTATTCTATTAAAGGTTAGTTAAGACATGGGAAGGTAGTTATTTTGTGGGGGTTGTTTCCCTGCAAGAGCAGCGTGATACTTGAACAAATATGCACAGATCTGGGAGCAGTGCTACCGTTCCAATATTCAACTCGAAATGTACAAAGTTGGCACAAAACCGACCCGCAGTCAGATCTGACGTAGTAGCACCTAATACCGAGTTCTCGCGATATTTAAGTGACGACATTTCCTGTGTTCACCGTGATTTTTTTGAACGGCCCAATAAGAAGAGGCGGCAGGATGCTTCAGCTTGAACAGCCCAATCAGAAGGCTCTAAAGCAGGAATTTAAAGGTCTGTGCGGCGTTTTCGGTATGCCATAACTTCTGCTCGAGCACAGGTAAGCATGTGTTAACTCCTTACTGAGACTTTTAAAAGTGTTTTACGATTAAGTTTTGAAAAAGAAGTTGTTGTCTTTCTGCGTGTGGTTATTGCATCAACTGTATTTTCTACGTAAAACGCTTGCCCGATAGCTTAAGTCAAACAAGCAGTACCGCCATATGTCTTAATGCGCGATCACGAGGCGCTTCCGTGTGCTTAAGGACTTCTTCTAAATGTCTTTCAGGAATAAACACGACTAGAGGCTATTTTTATTTTTGCCCACCGCTGTTGACATTTCCTGTTACTTAAAAATGGCTGAGAACTCCCCCCGTCTGAACCAGTTCAAGAACAAAGGCAAAGATGTCAATGTGAGTTTCATCTGCACTATTCACAACTGCTCGCTGAACGGCAAGCTTGTGAGACTTGATTATTTTATTTATTTGTATGTGACATAAATGCAGGAGCTTCGACGCAGGAGGGTGGAGGTGAACGTGGAGCTGCGCAAGGCCAAGAAAGATGACCAGATATTCAAGAGGAGAAATGTGTCTGCGATGCCTGAGGAGGCCACTTCTCCTTTACAAGAAAGAAGCCAGAACTGTCAGGTGAGCACTTGAAAGCATGATTTGCTGTTTTGCTTCAATCTGGCATTGAGTAAACAGAAAAAACGGATCTAGTCCCAACAGCTTGGTGCTAGTGCTGTGCAGTACTGCCAATTTTGATCTGATACTAGGCCTCTATTGCCAATATCAATAATCATTTTGTTTCAATGTCCACAAAACTAGAAATTGAGTGGGTTACATACTATCCTTTAAACTCAGTATCAATCTTATTGTGCTAGTCAATCAGTCAATACCAATACTGCTGTTGGTATCAGTACCATTGGGATTGATCTGCCCATCTGTTAGGTTTTTGTCAGTTTTAAATTTGCATGTCCAATAAACTGCTTTCTGGTGTCCTGTGCAGGGGCTCAGGCAGTGGACGGTCGAGGAGATTGTCGCAGGAGTGAACAGTGGGAATTCTGAGTCCCAGCTCCAGGCTACACAGGCTGCACGGTAATGACTGTGCATTAAAGAAATCATCCTTTTTCTTTTTTTCCCATAAATAAAGGCTACATAACTACTGGCACAGTAACTCTTATGTACCGTTTTGAATACAGGAAGTTGCTGTCTCGTGACAAACATCCTCCCATTGACCAGCTGATCAGCGCTGGTCTCATCCCCAAGTTTGTCTCCTTCCTGGGATATGTGGACTGTCCTCCGATCCAGTTCGAAGCATCCTGGGCTCTGACTAACATCGCCTCCGGGACGTCCGAGCAGACGGCCGCTGTCGTGTCAGGCGGGGCCATTCCTGCCTTTATTAGCCTGGTCACATCCCCCCACCAGCACATCAGCGAGCAGGCGATCTGGGCCCTTGGAAATATTGCTGGTAATTAATATGAAAATATTCATATTTGTTTGTTTTGGGGTTGTTTTCGTTTTCTTTTTTTTTTTAATATATTTTCCCCTCCTTTTTAGGTGATGGATCAGCTCTTAGAGACAAGGTCATCAAGCATGGCGCTGTGGCCCCTCTGCTCAGTCTGCTGGCTGTCCCTGACCTCAGTGCATTTAGTGTGAGTGTGGATTCTGTTTCTCTTCCTGTTTATATCTGGAGAAAGTTTCAAAAGTTTGACATGATCAGACTCGATCGTTTATTCTCCTCCTTGGCCAGTAGGTGGTTTCCTAACTCAAATATAACTGACCTTGTGCTCCTCTCTCATATTTGAAATCTTTGCAGGCTGGCTACCTGAGAAATGTGACGTGGACACTGTCAAACCTGTGCCGCAATAAGAACCCCTCCCCTCCTATGACAGCCATCGAGCAGATTTTACCCGCTCTCGTCCGTCTGCTACACCACGATGACTCGGAGGTGCTGGCTGACGCGTGTTGGGCTGTTTCATACCTGACAGATGGCCCCAACGACCGCATTGAGGTGGTCATCCAAACCGGTTTGATCCCTCGTCTGGTGAAGCTGCTTGGCTTTGAAGTCTTGCCTGTGGTTGTACGTATAAAGTCTTGCTTGAGTTTCTTTTATGTCGTAACTTCTCACCCAGTCCCCCTGATGTGCAGCGACTTGTTCTCACTGCATTTCCTCTCGCCTTTCCTCAGACTCCTGCACTCCGCACCATTGGCAACATTGTGACTGGGACAGATGAGCAGACACAGGCGGTGCTGGATGCTGGAGCCTTGGCCATGTTCCCCCCACTGCTTCGCCACAAAAAGGCCAACGTTCAGAAGGAAGCTGCCTGGACTCTGTCTAACATCACAGCAGGAAAGGACTCACAAATCCAAGAGGTCATCAACGCAGGCCTCGTTCCATACATGGTTGAGCTGCTCGCACGGGTATGCTTTTTGTGTGTGTATGTAAAGGTACATATTTTATACCCTTTATTTATTTTTAAATTAAATGATCTATGTTCCTTATGAACTTTGTCTGCAGGGAGACTACAAAACTCAGAAAGAGGCTGTATGGGCAGTTACAAACTTCACCAGTGGGGGCACTGTTCAGCAGGTGGTCTACCTGGTTCAAGCCAATGTGATTGAGCCACTTCTGAATCTCCTCTCCTCAAAGGACAGCAAAACTATTCTTGTCATCTTGGATGCCATTACCAACATTTTCATGGTGAGTTGATATTTATATTTTTGCAAGATTCGATGATGGGGTTTTTTGTTCTGATGATAAATGACATCACTGGTGTGTTTTGATCTTAGGCTGGGGATAAAATCGGTGAGTCCGACAAGCTGAGTCTAATGATCGAGGAATGCGGTGGACTGGACAAGATTGAGGCGCTGCAGTCACATGAGAATGAGATGGTCTACAAAGCCTCCCTGAACTTGATTGAGAAATACTTCTCTGAGGAGGTGGGTTATAGTCCTGGAGAGTGGTTTGCAAAATGAGCATTTCTGTGCCTTTTTTAACTTTAATAAGAATAATTATTTTATTTTTATTTTTTTTAAAGGAGGAAGTCGTGCAGAGTGTCATCCCAGAAGCAACCAATGACGGCTATGCGTTCCAGATCAGTGAAAGCCAGAGCACTTTCAATTTCTAGATGGACTTCTAATACCTCTCCTCTCCCTACTGTACCATCATTTCTATTGTGCGTCCTTTGTTCATGTCTGTGTGATGTTTTACTATTTTTGTTTGTATGTGTTGTACATACTGTTTTAACATGGCTGATGAAACAAGTCTGTAAATAAAGTTGTCAGATCGTGTGTGTGGTTTTAGTTTATTGTATCTAAACGGAGTGCTGTAAAATGGTAAATGGCCTGTATTTGTATAGGGCTTTACTAGTCCCTAGGGACCCCAAAGCGCTTTACACATCCAGTCATCCACCCATTCACACACTGCTGTAGTCTGAATGACTACAGGGAGTGCAGAATTATTAGGCAAGTTGTATTTTTGAGGAATAATTTTATTATTGAACAACAACCACGTTCTCAATGAACCCAAAAAACTCATTAATATCAAAGCTGAATGTTTTTGGTAGTAGTTTTTAGTTTTAGCTATTTTAGGGGGATATGTGTGTGTGCAGGTGACTATTACTGTGCATAATTATTAGGCAACTTAACAAAAAACAAATATGCCCATTTCAATTATTTATTTTTACCAGTGAAACCAATATAACATCTCCACATTCACAAATATGCATTTCTGCCATACAAAAACAAATCAGCGACTAATATAGCCACCTTTCTTTGCAAGGACCCTCAAAAGCCTGCCATCCATGGATTCTGTCAGTGTTTTGATCTGTTCACCATCAACATTGCGTGCAGCAGCAACCACAGCCTCCCAGACACTGTTCAGAGAGGTGTACTGTTTTCCCTCGTTGTAAATCTCACATTTGATGATGGACCACAGGTTCTCAATGGGGTTCAGATCAGGTGAACAAGGTGGCCATGTCATTAGTTTTTCTTCTTTTATACCCTTTCTTGCCAGCCACGCTGTGGAGTACTTGGACGCGTGTGATGGAGCATTGTCCTGCATGAAAATCATGTTTTTCTTGAAGGATGCAGACTTCTTCCTGTACCACTGCTTGAAGGTGTCTTCCAGAAACTGGCAGTAGGACTGGGAGTTGAGCTTGACTCCATCCTCAACCCGAAAAGGCCCCACAAGCTCATCTTTGATGATACCAGCCCAAACCAGTACTCCACCTCCACCTTGCTGGCGTCTGAGTCGGACTGGAGCTCTCTGCCCTTTACCAATCCAGCCACGGGCCCATCCATCTGGCCCATCAAGACTCACTCTCATTTCATCAGTCCATAAAACCTTAGAAAAACCAGTCTTGAGATATTTCTTGGCCCAGTCTTGACGTTTCAGCTTGTGTGTCTTGTTCAGTGGTGGTCATCTTTCAGCCTTTCTTACCTTGGCCATGTCTCTGAGTATTGCACACCTTGTGCTTTTGGGCACTCCAGTGATGTTGCAGCTCTGAAATATGGCCAAACTGGTGGCAAGTGGCATCTTGGCAGCTGCACGCTTGACTTTTCTCAGTTCATGGGCAGTTATTTTGCGCCTTGGTTTTTCCACACGCTTCTTGCGACCCTGTTGACTATTTTGAATGAAACGCTTGATTGTTCGATGATCACGCTTCAGAAGCTTTGCAATTTTGAGACTGCTGCATCCCTCTGCAAGATATCTCACTATTTTTGACTTTTCTGAGCCTGTCAAGTCCTTCTTTTGACCCATTTTGCCAAAGGAAAGGACGTTGCCTAATAATTATGCACACCTGATATAGGGTGTTGATGTCATTAGACCACACCCCTTCTCATTACAGAGATGCACATCACCTAATATGCTTAATTGGTAGTAGGCTTTCGAGCCTATACAGCTTGGAGTAAGACAACATGCATGAAGAGGATGATGTGGACAAAATACTCATTTGCCTAATAATTCTGCACTCCCTGTATAGTGTATTCAAAGTAATGGCTGTTAGTGAGTTTAAATGCTTTTTAAGAGTTTGTGTTAATAAACTTCCAAAGTCACAATGCATTAGTTATAAACAGGAGCCCTGGAAAAGCTATGTAGAGCTTACATAATACATATAGTATAATTTCCTAAAACAGATTCTTTTTTTAAAAAGTTCATTCCAAATTTCTGGACCTCTGCAGGTCATAGATTTCACAAAAAAAGCTCAGTGGATTTGATCTTTAAGTAGAAGCATGATGTGCTGACAGTATAACTTAACTGGTGGTTATTTGAATTGGCTTTGTATGGAGCACTAGAAGTGGGACACGCATTAGAATAAAGAATTTGGTGCTCCAATTGTGCAACAAAATATGCAGTAAAATGCCTAAAATTTTATTTAGTAAGACATTACTAAATTTATCATTTAAGTAAAGTAACACTAAATATTTCAAAATTAATCCAATAATTCTTTAAATCTGATGGATTTTGCAAAGAACTACTAACTCAAACATTGAAAACATTTTAAAACCCATCCGTTCTTTTATTTCTGACCTTTAAAATGGTGAATGCAGTCCTCATTTTCAAATCCATTTCCCCACTGTTTCCTTTTCCTGTTAGCTCATGGATCATATTAGAGGCAAACTTGTGGTGTAACGGGCCCATCTATTAAATCTGCTATGCCCTGCAAGGCCAGCTGATGTGTGTCCATAGTGGGAGGTGGTCTATTAATCAACAGATACCTTTTGGTTTTCCACAGTCAGAGTTTAAAGATGGTTGGTTGCATCTCACCTAGTCTGTGAATTTTGGTGGTTAGTTGATTTTCTGGGTCCACCTCGGAAGTTGGATTGATGGGAAAATGTCATCAACAGTCAGTGGTGCAGGTGGTCGCCAGTCTTCCCCATCCATCTGAAACGTAGCTTCTCTTTTAGACTGGTTTCCACTCCATAGTTGAAATATGTCAGACATATTATTATCTGGGACTGGTAGACCAGGCAATGGTGGCTGTTTGGTGAAACTGTGGAGAAGGACTACTGGCTTCTATGTGATATTTCATCTCCAGCACGGCCGTCTGTAGTCGCCAATTTTTTTCCTGCCTAATAGGTTTTAAAACCTCTACTGAAGCAGATGTAACAGGTGGATATTATTGTTTTTAAGACAGATAAGGGTTAATGTTTAAAACTGCCTGCGCCCACCTCAATGCACATCCCCGCAGTAACTCAACCAGTAATTTTTGTGCCGTCTGACGAATAGGTTCAACTCTGTTGTCTAAACACCAAGAAAAATTGCCTTAAGAAATCTGAAAAAATACCTCAGGGGTTGGAACAGGTCTCTGCAGGGGTTTGGGAGGTGACAGTGGCGAAGGAGCGAGCAAAGGCTGTGCCTGGGTAGTGACAAGTGGAGGATTAATAGTGTGAGATGGGTGAGACGCAGAAGAAACAAACATATCCTAGAGTTCAGCAATCTTTTGCACAATGGCATTTGACAGAGCATGTTTTGATGTGTGCTCAGCTTCTCTTTCTGTAGATCCAGAGAGCGACTCAGCATCTGAGTCCGCTGAGTCCATGTGAGCCTGATCATTCTGTCATAGTCTACAGTACAGACTGGACTCAAGATGCAGAACCCAGAAAGATTCAGTGAAGGTGTGTTTATTTACGGTGCAGTAGGGACGGCAGAAGAAATGTTAGTCCACAGAATCATCTCCACACAGGGAGAAACACACTCTCAGAGACCCACTCAGGATTCCCGCGGAGAGAAACGGAAGAGGTGAGGAGATGACACAAGCCAATGCATACAATACCTCAGATTACGAGCCGGTAACACTAACTAGTTCCAGTTCAACAACCATCTTAAACAGCAGGCAGCTGAGATGATTACCAACAGGTGAGTTTGTTATCTGCATCTTCAATGTGCACTTTATTTACATATACTGATAACAGGATCGCTTAAGTACCAAGACAAGCACCAATCCATGTAGTACAATAAATAACAGCATTCTTTCAGTGCAAAACTACACAACCACAGATATCACTGCAAACCTTGAGCGGTCCGTAACTGTGCTATTAACCAGCTCATTAACGTGACAGGTAAAAAAACAGTTTTTTTTCCAAACCACTTCAAACTTCAGTAGCAGGATATCTAAACATGCATCTGAACTACAGTTACCATTCTGTACACACCGCATTTCCACAGCATCCAGCGATACAAACCTCATTAGGGAAGTAAGATTTAACAAGTTATGTGAGAGTACGGAGGCACAATGAGACAGCAACAGCCAGAGATGCTCACATTAGCCACAACATTAAAACTACCTGCATAATGCTGTGTACAAGCCCCACTGGGGTGTGGACACAGGCACCTTGGGATGTGAAGTCTAGCACTAGGATGTTGGCAGTGGATCCTTTGGGAGCTGATGGTTGGGGAGTGGGTCCTCAGTGGATCTGGCTCCAATGTGTTCCTTGGATTCTTAATTGTATTTTGATCTTGGAAGTCTGGCAACACCTTGGCTTATTTGTCATGTTTCTCTGGCTGCTCATGTAGTCGGGGGCTGTCACTGTGAGGGAGTGTGCTCAGTCTGTAACAGTGTTTGGGCAGGTGGTCCACGTCAGGATTACTTCCACATAAAACCCAGACCCGTTAAATCCTAAATAAGTAAGTATAAAGGGCCACCTGGGAGGAAGTAAGTCAGGCATTCTGCAGGTTGATGCTTGGACTGCACAGCAGTGATTACACCTCTTTTCTTACATGTCTTACATCTCTCAGCTTGATGAATGTTACAAGTTCAGACTTTCTAAGGACATATGTGATATTTGAATCTTGCAAAGTACCTGGCTAATGTTTTTGTTAGCAGTCTCCAACAGTGCTGACATGGGGGAAAAAAAACTTTGTTTGCATTACATTCAGTTTTTACAAATATATGAAAAATAGCTTTTAGTTAAAATCGCTGCAAAGGATTTATGTGGGGCTTAGCTATGCCTAACAGTTCTCTGATTGCCGACACAGTTTACTCAACTAAAATTTTTGGTGGTTTTTGGTAACCTTTAAGTGCTGCAATTCAACTGCCTGAAACCAGCATGTGATCAGTCGCTATACTGCATTTAAAACATCAGCCGTGCACCTGTTGAATACAGAACAGCTCATTTGTGATCTCTATGAGTAAACCCAACAGAGTCCCCACAGACCCCACAGTGTTTTTATCTTGCTTTTCCCTGACACCTAGTGGACACTGATGGGCATGTGGTACGTGATGTATATGATTGAATAGAAAAGCCAAAATTTGTGTGGGGTGTTATAAGACATTTCACAGTGTAAA